CTACTTTATTGTAAAGCTACATTAACAGAATCTTGCAAGTCTGAAAGTACAATTCTTCCCCTGTCTTCTTTACAGCCTGAGAACTTAGGGAGGGTCCCTTCTGAGCCTCTTGTTCAGCCCACTATCTAGCTGTGGGCTATGCTCTCTCTTATCTGACTGCTCCCTAGGCAGCATCCCTTTGCCCAGTCTCCCAAGGTTATTCCTACACACCATTACAAATGTATTCATGGCCCAACTTGCACAGGAGGCCACACAGTGGATCTGGTGTTTGCCTTGGGGCAGTGGGATTGTGATCTGGTTTTGGGGGCATTAACATCAGTCCCCAGTCATGGTCAGACCACTCCCTGTTGGTCCTAGAGTTCTCAGCAGCTGCTCCTCACTGCAGGAAGATAGGACCTATCAGATAGGCCCACCCCAGCCGCCTGATGGACCCAGTGCGGTTACATAGGGAACTTGGATTTTTTCCTGAGGCTCTGGCATGCAGTTCGGCAGATGTGCTCATTCCAGCTTAGAATGAGAGGGTGATGTGGGCACTGGACCGAATTGCAACTGTGAGGACTCTCTGTGTACGTGGATCTCGTAGAGCATCTTGGTTAACCAAGCAGCTCTGAGAGCTGAAGTGACACAAGAGATGCCTAGAGTGTCACTGGAGGAAGACAAAGAGTGAAGCTGACCAAGCACGAGTAAGAGCCTATTTTAGGACTTACCTTGTAGTGATAAGAGTGGCAGTGTACTTACTTCTCTGCCCTTATTGCATCTGCAGATAGCCACCCAACGGCCCTATTTCAGGTGACCAGGCCCCTCCTGGGTAAGGAGGAGCCAGGAGAACTCCTGCAGGGCCACTGTGAGGAATATTCTCAGCATCTATCAGATAAAGTTGCTCAGAGCTGGACTCTGGCTGGGCAGATCCCTTGGAAGTGACTGAGACACATCTGAGCCCTGTTATCTGGGAGGAGTCTGAGCCGTTTGATCCTGAGGAAGTGGACAGGGTCCTTGTGGCTGTGAGCTCAGGCACCTGTGTTCTGGGCCCATGCCCCTCCTGGTTGGTCAAGGCCTCCTGGGATGTGGCATGTGGCTGTGTCTAAGCGGTGGTGAATGCCTCTTTGCAAGAGGGGGTGGTACCGCCTGCCTTGAAGGAGGCACTAGCATCCTTGGACCCAGCCACATTAGATAACTTTCGTCCAGTCTGCAATCTTCCCTTTTGGGGAAGGTTGCTGAGAGGGTGGTTGGCATGCAGCTTCAGAGGGCCCTGGATGAAGTGGATTATTTGGACCCTTTTCAGTCAGGGTTCAGGCCAGAGTATAGTACTGAGATGGCATTGGTTCTGCTTGCTGATGACCTTTGAAGGGCTCAGGATGGGGGTGGTACAACTGTCCTGGATCTCCTGGATCTCTCAGCAGCTTTCAATACCATCAACCATAGTATCCTTCTGGACCAGCTTTGGGGACTGGGAGTGGGAGGTGCCATTTTTGTGGTGGTTCTCCTTTCCCCATTCCAGTCAGTGTTGATGGGTGAGGAGAGGTTGAGTCCTAGGTCCCTGCAGTGTGGGGTACCTCAGAGCTCCGGTCTCCCCCCTCCCTGCTTTAATATCTACATGAGCTACTGGGTGAGGTCATTTGATGGCCTGGGGTATGGTATCATCAGTATGCTGATGATACCCAGTTATGCATCTCTATCCCTGGCTGAGCAGGTGATGCTGTTGCAGTGCTGCCCAAGTGCCTGGAGACTATAAGGGTCTTGATGAACCGACTTCGGCTCCACCCTGGCAACACAGAGTGGCTTTGGGCTTTTGGCCCTCCAAGGTCTGGTGACTTGTCATCTTTGACTTTGGATTTGGACTTTGGATTTTGACTTTGACATTGCAGTCCCCCAGACCAAGTTAGTGTGCAATTAAGGGGTCCTCCTGAACTCATGGCTACTGCTTGATAAGCAGGTGGCAGCCATGGCTGGGGGGGGGGGCTTTGCACAGATCTATTTTGTGTGCCAATTGTGCCCTTTCCTGGACAGGAAGGCCTGGTTCATGGTCACTCATGCCTTAGTCACCTCCTGGTTGGATTATTGCAATGCACTTTACATGAGGGGCCACTCGGAAGGTATAACTGGTCCAGGATGCAGTGGCGCACAGAATATTGGGTGCTTATAGATTTGCCCATGTTACACCTTTGTTGAGCAAGCTGTACTAGCTCCCAGTTTCCTTTGGGGTGCAATTCAAGGTGCTGGTTATCACTTTGAAAGCCCACATGGCACGGGACCTGGTTATTGTGGGACCACCTCTCCCTAATAATATCTGCCTGTCCCACTAGATCAGATAGGGTAGCCACACTCCAGGTCCCTTCCCTGAAATCCTATCACCTCGTGGGACCTCAGAAGTAGGGGCAGCCTTTACAGTGGTTGCCCCTACTTTGTGGAACCGCTTCCCCCCCCCCCAGCAATTCAGCAGGCCCCACTCCTTTATCCTTTCAGAAGCCATTAAGACCTGGCTTTTTACTGGGGTGCTGGGATAGGATTGTATGGATAGCAAGTATGGAATGAGAGCAATTGGAGCTTGCTGCGGGGCATCCCAAGGGGATGATTTAGGTGCAGGGTTTTTGTTTGATTGTTTTACTGTTTTATGATTGTTTATAGTCATTGGTTTTATTGTTGTTGTGAGCTGCCCAGAGTTGCTTAAGATGGGGGGCCATATAAATCTTTTAAATAAATAAATAAATAAAATATAACAGTTTACAGAGTTGAACAATGTTCCATTGGCGAGCTACATCCTGTGCACACGTTCCTTCTCTAAGAGTCTGCAGAATTGCTTGCCTGTTTACTTCACCTTCCACCCATCCTCTTTCCATGCTGTTGCTGGGTAACTTGGCCAAGCCAACAGGTTGTGGTCTGTCCAAATTTCACCATAGCACAATGTCAACAAACTCTCAGCCCAGCCAATGGCATGGAGTCATTGCTGCAGTGATTTTTTTTTTCTAGTCCTGGAGTAAATTGCTAGCAGCTATTCACTTCAATCCAAACAATCTAAAGAAAGCTATCCATTATCAGGCTTTTTTCATCAGACCAGCAGGTAGTAGAAGCTTTATTTGCAAACTGTCCTTGTTGAAACAATGGACAGCCAGGCGAGTGCACAGAAATCGCCGTGACCTGGCTACAACAGACCAGCAGGCCATGCTCACACCATTCTCCTATCTTTACTTGAGCCAAGAGGGTTGTATCTGCCTCATGATAGGGCATGCTCACACCACTGTAACATTTGGCTCTGTCTTGTATTGCACATTCCTACAAATATTTAAAAACTCATCCAGTCAGCTTAAACTTGCATGGCTTGACTTGGCTGGATCAGATAAATTGCTAGATCAAATCTGCACAGAATTTAATTTGACTCTACTTGGAAGTTGATGTGCCAAATGCCTTGCAACACACATTTC